CGACAAATCAAACTTTCCCTGACGTCCTCACAAGATTCTAGGGTAGGATGGTATGAAAATTCGACGATTAATTGGCATGAGGAATGACAATTAACCATCACCAATAACAACAAAAAAATTATAAATCAAAATAAATTTCTGCACTTTATTTTTGTTTCTCTTGATGATTTAGCATTTTATGATTCACCAAAGTTTTCCAACAATTATAAATTTATACAAAAATATTAACATAAATGAATTCAAATTACATAATAAAATTACATATGTTCATATTCTTCAAAAACTAAGCTTCACAAATTAACAAACCCTAGAATTATATGTAAATAAGTAGGTTGATCTTACTAAAGTTAATATTACAAAGCCCTTCATAAAAATAATACTTCAATGTCATCTATATATACATAAAGGGTGGGAGAAAGAGAAAAAAAAGAAGCTATTGTGTAAACACCTAAGCTTTGAGTTCTATGCATGTGATTATCTCAAATATAACAGTAGCAACATTATTTAGCAAGCACTGGATCACAGTAAATAAGAACATTAATCCGGACAAAAACTAAACGGTGACCATTACAAAATCAAAAGGCTTCTAATTCTTCAACAGACTGCAACTAAGTTGAGCGATAATGGGTACCAACAATTCAAATAAACAGGCACTAAACTTCAAAAAAAAAAGAGGAATGATAAAAATAGAAATAAATCCACACAAATAATTCTTAAGATTCCACATGCTTCTTCTTCTTTGGCACCCTGTAAGCACCAACCACACAGGCATGGTCACGTTCAAAAGGCTCAAGAGTAACCTGCTCGAAGGGTTTGAACTGATCGGCTTGAAGTTTCTTCACTTCCTGAGCAAACACTGCCTCAGCAGGCACTGTGGAGTCGATACAATTGGCCTGAAAAAAGAGAAGTCTTTAGATGTTAAAAAGTTAAAAATGGAAGTTTTACCGCTCAATTCTTATGTCTAACATCAAAACCTTTATATATATATTATGTCTAACTAATTGTTAAATTATTATGGCTTAATCGATGTTTATATAATTGTTATTATATTTTATGATTTAATGTTTATATTGTTAAGACATTATTATTTTTTTTTAATTTGAACAATCTATTGCTTTTCTTATATTAGGATGTTAATTTTAATGCATTAATAGGAATATAGGATAAGATATTAATATATTACCTTTTATTATTTTGAAATTAATAAAACACTCTTTACTTTGTGCAATTTGTTGATTTTTGAGGTTTATGCTTCAAATCACTTTGAGGCTCTTAAGCCACTCCACGCAACGGCTCAATATCAAATTATGTAATTTTATATATAGACCACTTTATTTATGCATAAAACTGTGCATTTTACCTTTTAAAAGTCAAAATAGTTGTATTTTTGAAATGATATGAAAGATTTGCGTGGTATAAATCTAAAAAGTAAACTTTAGGTTTTAGGTATGTAAATAATAGAAATTGGGTAGCATGTGATTAAATGCCCTAAAAAATTATATAAGTTAGCCAAAAATTCCTAGGGAATAAAATATCATTTCAACATAAAAATATCCAAGAAAGAATTTAAAGGGTGAAAAAAGAAGTAATTTTAGAAAGGGAATATGTGATCAGAAAATGTCAAATACCTTAATTGAGATGACAAAATGACCCTCATTTTTGAGGAAAAATGAAGCATTTAAAGCTAATATCCTTGCCTGTAACATTGCAATAGAGTTAACAGAAAATAATAAATAACAAACTGAAACAACTCAAGTGTCTATAGGTTCCAATAAAAAAATAAAATAAAATAACAGATTACATAAACAGGATTTCATTCACGTTGATCAACTGAAAATATAGTCATTTGCAGCATCAGAAAAAATAAAAACTACTACTTAAAGTATTTGACGAAGAGCAATTGTTAGGCCAACCAAGATTTAAGAATAAAAAAAGCAGGGAGTGGCCATTAATATAATTCGGAAGATTTACACGCATACCACTCAATTCTTATGCACTTGCATATCTAACTCCTGAACTTCATTTTTTGCACACATGCCATCTAGTATGCATGAAAAGGTGTATTATGTTTTTAAAAGTTAAAATAGTTTTTTTTTTTTTTTTATGTGATATGAAAGTTTTTGGTGGTATAAGGTGTTAGATATGTAAATATATAGGATTAGGGTGGGGAGGCATGTACGTAAAGGCACCATGCATATATCTATATAACTTAAACTCCACAATCAAGGACAAGACAAAAGCTTCATGAAAAGCATCTAGTTCGCAAGCTTCCATTGATAAATAGTCACTCATACACTTCTATAAAAGTCAAGTTTCAAACAGAAAAGACAACATCTTACCTTTGGCGACCACATTTTTCTCAAGCCCAACTTTTATCAAATTTTTTTTACAACAAAAAAGATAAGACTAAGACCTACTCTATTGAAAAAAACATGAGGTTTAACTATTCTGTAACGTTTACAATAATTCTATTTCACTAGATATGTCATGCAATTTGGAGTAAAGTTTCCAACTGGAAAAACTTATCAGATATGGAACATTTTCTTCTCTAAATAATCATTTCTGAATTATTTTCTCACTACAATTAACGTATTATATTGTTTAGACTCTATTCCTTGCTGGTGGCTTTGTGCATCTGCTTCTAATGATGGCTGGCTTCTAAGGGGTAATATGATGTCAGAATTAGTATTTCTATACCGATTTTGACTTGTGACTAGGGGTGTAAACAAGCCAAACACGAGCCGTTCACGAACAAAGAGTCGTTTTGTCAACCCTCATCACGTACCCGTAAGATGTTAAGGATTAGGGTTAGGAAAAGATTTAAAAATTATTATTTATATTAAAACATCATTTGAATCTAATTTAATAATTTTTATTCTATTTTATTAATTAATACTTTTAATTGATTATAAATTTTTGTAGCCTTGTAAATAATTAAATTTAAAAAAAAAAACACTCATCAAATATTATATATATATATATACATATATATAATTGATTAGTAGTATTTCGAGCCAAAACAAGCCGAACACAAGCTTCTTAACGAGTAGAACATGAGCTGTTCGCGAACAACGAGCCGTTTTGACAACCCTACTTGTGACCGGTCATAATAATTATAAACATACCAATTTTACCATTTTGAAATTTTACCTACAAAAGCTCATTTAAAAAAAAAACATTTTTAATCATTGTGCTTCTCAAAATTTATGCTAGTTAAATAGAGAAGAAGAGAAAAAGAATAGAGCAACCGAGTGGGGGTTGCGAGGATCTGACGTGCAGAGAGGACAACCGAATTTGTTGGGTAGTGCAGTGTGGATGAGCGTAAGTGGGTTGATTTTTTCATTGAGATATCCACATCCTTCCTATCAAGATTCTCCACCTTTGTTTCCATAATACCCAATCAAATGGATGTCGTAACTGCAAATAAGATGGTTGAGGTGGTTTCCAACCGCAGCTTCGCGAGCACCCCTACAATTCCACCTTAAGACCGAGAACAATGATTCACTAAAGGGGAGACATCCCCGCTGCCAACAAGTTCACTTTTCTCTTCCTTGGGATATGCTCAATGGGGCCCAGTTGGATTCTTTGTTGAAGTGGGCATTGGAGATCCGTTCCTTCAATGCCCGCCTCCTATTGGCTTAGAACCTCAGGAGATAGGCAACTCAGTCCTCTAAACATTCCCAGGTGAAATTTTTTTTTTTTGTGCTAGAGATTATGAGGCAACTCAGTTCTTCAATGCCCGCCTCCTATCGGCTTAGAACCTCAAGAGATAGGCAACTCAGCCCTCTGGACATTCCCTGGTGAGAAATTGTTCGTGCTAGAGATTATGAGGCAACCACCTTGGGTCAGTGTTCTGCGTCTGTTCAACATCATGAGAGGCCTCTTGAGAGTTATCTCCACGTTCCTTACGTTCACCATTAACTAAAAATTTGAATTTTGGAGCAACACCGTGACATGGGATAATGTTGCAGTCACTGATTATATTGCCTTTGGGGTCTTTCCCTTCAACATGGTTTTCCTTCTCGAGCCAAGAATCCTTGGGACATAAGATGTGTCATCATGTGCAACCTCTTCAATTTGGTGGGTGGGTTGGTGATCAATCCCCGCCCGACAATTCTCATCACGGTTGTCACTTTTGAGTGCATTCATGTGCAACCTCTTCAATTTGGTGTGTGGGTTGGTGATCAGTCCCCGCCCGACAATTCTCATCGCGGTTGTCACTTTTGAGTGCATTACCAACCTCAGTGGCAACAACAGAGTTTCGATGGGCCTCCACAGAACCACAATACTACGTCGAGTTTGGTTTTGATGGGATTTTTGGATTCGGAAGGAGTTGGCACATATGTTGCAATTTTCATCTTTGTGACCAACAATCTCGCATTTAAACCAAAGTTGGCTAATTCCCTCATATTTAACAGGTTGGAAAAAATTGTCTTGTTTTCCACGAACCCAAACACCATTTGGTAATTATTTTGATAGATTTATTCTAACAAAAACACGAGCATAGACCTTCCCCAACAATTTGTGAGTATTAATTTTAAATTATTTAATTGACTACAAGACTACAGAGATTTATAAACAATCAAAATTATGAGTTAAAAAATAGAATAAATATATTAAATTCCATTTAAATGAATAATTTAATATAAAAAATAAGATTTAAATCTCGCCTCTACCCATAATGTCATACGACTTAAATACTAGAGATGTCAAAACATCTCGTTTTTTTGCAAACAGCTCATGTTCGGCTCCCCAAGAAAACGAGCTAAACACGAGCCGAGCCAGCGTTTGCTCAAGCTCGGCTTGTTTACACTCCTAATTAGAGAATCCTGCTCCTATATTGAAGATTCCATTGTATTGAACAAAGTGATTGCTCCCTTGTCCATCATGCATCATGGACTGACCCAAAAAGTCCCTTGATTCATTAAGAAGATTTGTTGTGGCATTTCCATAAACATCTAGAGTGCATGTTTAATTATCTTCCTTATTTAGTGCAATAGAGGGGGGTATATTTCCACACTTGCAGAAACACAAATATCTTGTGCCAATTGTTGCCCAACCAAATCAGCATTTTGATCCTCACAAGGAGGGACTTCCATTTCTAGATCCAAATTAGAAGGTTTACACACCTCACTTGTGCCACCTTCATCCTCCATGGTTGTTGCACTTCCAAACGTGTCTAGCCTTATTCTTGGCCTTAGAAGGTGAGCGAGCATACTGAAGAAGAGCGTTCTCTTTGCTAGCATCAACCTCCATTTTGATGCTCATAAGGAGGGGTTCCATTTCTACATCCAAATTAGAAGGTTTACGCCCTCAACTGTGCCACAATGTCCTCCATCACTATCGCCACTTCCAACTATACATGGCCCTTATCCTTGGCCTTAGAAGGTGAGTGAGCGTACTAAAGAAGTGTGTTCCCTTTGTTGGCATCAACCACCATAGATTCCCCAAGTTGGGGAGAGTCACCATGTGGAGATGGTGTTTATGGTGCAATTAACTAGTTGGTTTAGGAGCAGTTGAGTCACCCATATTAGGAGCTTCCCGTCGAAGCTTTGTTCCAAAGCCGAAGATCGAGCAGGGGTCCTCCATGTCCATCTTAGTGAGAATGCACAAATGAGTACCATAAAGCAAAAACATTGGTGATGTTGCCTTCATCTTGTGCCCCAACCGATGGGCATGTTATTCAATGGACATATCAGCTCTATAGTTGGTGCTCACGGATTGAGTAGATTTGTATGTAATGAATGCAGGAGTTTGAGTGTCAAGAGGGTCACAAACACTTACAAAGGATTGGTTTTTGGTTTCTTTCTTTGCATTGGTCTACTTATGCCCAAGCATTCCATAATTGAAGCAAATATGTGGCAAATATGTGGGATGATTTCATACTCAACGGTTGAAAATATTCTCTCATCATGCGTGTCAACCCACACAACGATAGGCAATTTTATGGATAGGTTCATTCAGATACAAATCCAAGCATATAAATTGAGTCCCCGATTGCATGTGTTAGCATCGAGACATAAGGGTTGGCCGAGCATGGTAGCAATGCGAGTAATGTTGCAACTATACCACCAATGGAGTCGAAGATGCGGGAATCATACTCATAAGGATGAAGAAATACCTTGCAGCGAATTTAACTTGAAATTAGGAGATCATTTATCCACACCAACAATGCAGCCTGCAACTATCCAAGGTCCTCGAATAAGCACGATATCACATGCTGGGATTGTTTGAAAAATGCAAACAAAATCAAAATTTAGCAAGATAATCTTTAGAACCCCAATATGAGACCATATGTGATTAAGTACTCTTTGAAGGACTATGTAATGCAACTTTCGCCCTAGAAGTTTCCCAACAATCGCCTTGTATAACTTGCAAAGGTTGGAAATTGCATCCATTTGATTTAAAAAAACACCAATCTCAACAGTGAAATGTTGTAGCTATCTTAGATGTGATCAATTTTTAAGTGATCTAGTCGTTGTCATGCATTAGACCTATGGTTATTGGCAATGGAGGGATGGGATCCACCAATAACATTACCTAGAGAACCTTATGTGCATGAACCTGTGTTGAAATCCTGCTCGGTTTTGCCCAAAAAACAGTCCAGCGTTTGCTGAACTTGCGGGAGAGGCATTCCCTCGAGCGGTTTGCACACATGCAACTAGGAGTCCGACATCCAGTAAATCCAAATCTTGCC